TTCGGATTCTGTGTCTCCCTCTCTCTCTACCCCTCCTCCGCTCACACTCTGTCTCTGTCTCAAAGGTAAATAAACATTAAAAAAAATTTTTTAATAAAAAATCTTTAAAAAAAATGACTCTGGGGGAAAATAATGACAGACCTGTCCCCCAGGAAAGGAAGACGAAGCATGTAATGGGTTTCTAGCACTATCGCCACTCCTACCTTTCCCCACTAAAATAAGTCATTTTGTCTCTCCCTTGGGCCCTGAGATCTCAAGTGAACAACTTTCCCCATACTTGGAGTGGCAGGTAGTGAAGAAGCCTCCATGTTAGCCTATGTGAGACCCAATGCCAAGACAGTGCCCTTTGGAAGTCGTATCCAAAGGGCTTCAGGCAGTTCCTGGTACATAGTGGGATCTATATAAATGTTTGTTGAATAAAAAGGAAAACAAAAGAAAACAAACCTCCTAGTAATAAAGCTGAGGGAAGGTATTCCAATCTCTCCCCTCTGTGAGAAGTTTTTTTGTTTTTTGTGGTGTGTGTGTGTGTGTGTGTGTGTGTGTGTGTGTGTGTGTGTGGCTATTGAAGAGGCTATCTTTGCCTACCCCCAAAGGAGTTGGCATCCAATTATGGGGGAAACTACAGTCATTACTATAAACCCTAAATAAGACAAGAACTTTCCTACAACCCATAGATCCTCAGTAAACCCGAGGCTTCTCCCACCTTGCTCTCACTGCTGACAGACCCTCAGGCAAATTCAGTCATAGATCTGCCCATACACATCCCTCCCTACTTTTAGTTTCCCTCTCCTCTCCTTCAGGGACTCTATTCCATCCTCACCTCCACAGCATGCATCAGCCCCCACAATGCAATCCAAAACCCATCACCAAAGTCTGCTCTCAGGCAGAAGTAGGCTCCCTGAAGGCATTTCAGCCCCCATTTTCCATTATTAATGGGCTGACAGAACAGAGTGGAAAGTTCTTCTGTCCCTGCCCAGCAACTCCTCCCCACCAACAGAGTCCCTTGGTAGGGGGGTGGTGGGCAGTAGAGGGGCAAATTCTAAGCTGCGTAATTCCTACATGAAGACTGTATTGGTGAGACTGGAGTACAGGCTGTGCCAGCATAGCTGGGGAGTGAGTAGCAACGCTCAGCTATAATTAGTCACCCCCAGAGCGGAGCCTGCAGAACAGGGAGAGGGAGGAGGGTCTCTGGTGGGAGGAGGGGCCACTGGCTGCTCAGAAGTGGGGAGGCAGGGGCAGAAGTAAGGAAAAGCAGCTCTATTCAAGGTAAGCAATGTGAAGCACAAGTTGTGCAGACAGAAGGAGGTCGGCTGTCCGAAACCACCTAGTGTAGGCAGCATATAGTAAGCAAGGCCCTGATAAATAAGGTGGGTTTTTGTTGTTGTTGTTGTTTTGTTTGTTTGTTTTACCCCTGAAGTGGGAAGAATGTAGACCTGAATTATGGTGGGGGGGGGGTGCCGCTAAGCACCCCTAAAGAACAGTGCATCTATAGGGGAGCAGAAGGGGACTAGAGAAAAACTGACAGTCTAGTATCCCAAGAAAGTGGACACTTGGACGTGGTCTCCTGGGAAGACTGCTTCTTCAGGACCAAGATGCCTGAGCTTTCCGGAGAACACTATCCCTTCAATGTCCCCACTCACCCTCGTCGCTGACAGAGGGTTCTAGGAGGCTGGAGATTGCTGGAGGAGGGGCCAGACCGAAGGGTTTACTGCAAGGGTAAGAGGGGAGCAGAGAGGGCAAAGGAGTCTAGGGATGAGGCTGGAGAGAGCAAAGGCAGCCCTTAGGGAAGGCAAAGCCTCAGACCTCCCCCGCGCGAAGGGGAGGAGGCAGAGCCACAAGAGAGGGCGCAGGAACTCTGTGAGAGCCCGGATTTGTGGAATCGGAGCCTGAGTCCTGGCACTGTGCAAGAAGCCGGCCCAGATCTGGCGACTAGGGGGTGGGGGTGGGTCCGCTGCCAGCCACCGGCCTGGCTTTCCCACAGACGCACTCACCTATTTTGGCCAGGCTGGCCACCAGGATCCACAGGGCTACCAGGTAGGGCGCCTCCACCTCGTGCCACTGCCAGCGGAAGAGCGCCAGCCCTGGAGGAGGCTCGCCGGGCGACCCCGGCTCCCGGGTGGGCTCTTCGGTTGCGGCCGCCCCCGCCAGGGGCAGCCAGAGCAGCGGTAGTGCTGCGCACCGCATCCTGCCGACTGCCTAGCCGCCCTCCCGGCACCGCACGGCCGCCGGCCTCGCGTCGCCGCCGCGCCTACCGGCCGCCCCCGCGTCACGAGCACGTGGGGCCCGCTCCCCCCAATCCTGGCTCCGAAACCCCCAAGCCGGGTCCGGACTCCGAGACCGTGCTCCGGGCGCCCGGACTCTGGACCCCTGCTCCTCCCCCACTAAACCATTCTCAGCTCTGGAAATCCCCCAGTGCAGCTCTCCCCCAAGTCCCGAAACCTATTCCTTCGAGTCCGCTCCTCCAAACCTTCCTCAAAGCTCCCCCGACCCGGTTTCAGAACTGTCAGCCCCCACAGCCTTCCAGAGGCACTACTGTCCCACCCGCCCAAGGCTGCAGCCTGCGGGGGAGGGGGGGAGAGGGGGAGGGGGAGGGGGGAGGGGCGGGGTCCAGGCCCGAGGGGCGCGTCTCCACAGCTAGTGCAGACCCGCGGCGAGCTGCCCACTGCTGTTACCAAAGGCTCGGGCCCCGACGCTGCCCCGTGCAGACGGCAGGTGGCAGTGCGCCGCCGCCCTCCGGAGCCTAGGACCCCCTACGGGCCCCCGCCCAGACCAGAGCTGCGCACGCGCATTGGGCGCGCCCAGAAAGCCGTGAGGGACAACGCTGTCCTCCAAGTCCCCAGAAACTCCAAGGCCTAGATTAGGTCCGGCTCTCCCCAGGCTGAAAAGAAAGCTGTTCCTCTTTATCTCCCAAACCGAGGAGCACCCGGCCACACTTTCCGTCAAACTACAAGGAAGTCTCCTCACCTTTTTCTTAAAACTGAAGGGAACGTATCTTCTTTCCCTAAACTATGGAAAACCCAGCCTATCAATTCCCTTCAAACTAAGAGGGATCCACTCACCTTTTCCCCCAAACCTGAGGAGGCATTCGGCTAATCTCGCCCCAAACTGAGGAGGACCGACTCCATTTTTCATTCAAGCTGAGAAGCAACCACCCCACTTCTTCGCCCAAACTGAGGAAAAATATGTTCTACCTCCCCACTCAAACTGAGTCATCACATCATTTTCCCAGAGCTGAGGGGCATCTTCTTACCCCAACTAAAGGGAAATCATCCCACCTCTTCCTTCATACTGAGTGGAATGTATTTTCACCTCTTGCTCCAAACTTAAAGGGACCCATCTGCATGTTTTCCCCAAATGATGTAATCCCATCCACTTCATCCCTCAAACTGAAGGAATCGGGGCCATCTCATCCCTAAACCCAGGGAGACCTGGCTGGCCACTATCTGAAGAAATATCCGCGCCACCTGCCCGAAGAATTCTTTGACCAGAGCGCAGCCTCATCGCCCCCAAGCCCAAAGAAAGCCTCCCTGACGTGGGTGCGCTCTTGAAGGCGGGGCGCGAGCTTGGGTTTTCCCGCCGGCAGAGCCAGTGAACTAACGGAATCACGATCGCGCCCTCTGACTGGCTGGCGACAAGCCTCGCCTCCGGCAGTGGTAGCTCCCCACTGCGTGTTCAGGGACTACTCTTAGCTCCACCTCCTTCCTCGGCCCCGCCTCCGTCTGGCTCCTCCCCTCAGCAGCGTCCGGTCCGGCCCGGCCCAGACAGCCGAGCTAGTGGAGTAGACGCCGCGGCGTAGCCGGGATCCTCCCGGAGGCGCGCGGCGCGAGCCCCTGACAGAACCATGGCGGGCGAGGAAGACCGCGGAGATGGGGACCCGGTATCAGCGGTGACCGTGCGGGTGCAGTACTTGGAGGACACCGACCCCTTCGCATGTGCTAACTTCCCGGAGCCGCGCCGAGCCCCCACCTGTAGCCTGGACGGGGCGCTGCCCCTGAGTGCGCAGATACCCGCGCTGCATCGCCTGTTGGCGGCGCCGCTGAAGGTGAGGGGGCCTAAAGAAAGGTTGGGGGCGATCAAAGGTTCATGGTCGGCGCCATGAAAGCCTTTGGGAGGTACCCCTCGGGGAGAGGCGGGAGTGGGTGCGTTCCTGCGGGAAAGTCTTGGGCTGGGGACCTACGGTCCAAGCTGCCTCGCTTTCGCGGGACGCCTCTCAAGTTGAGGGAAGCTCAAGAAGGGAGGTGGGAGCTTGTTGTCTGCGCCACTTTGGCTGCCCCCTCAAAGTGAGGCCCATCTGGGGAGGTGTTCGGGGTCCATTCGCTGCCTGTCTGCTTGGGTAACCGATCTGGATAAGGTGACGGTAGATGTTTGGGTGGTAGCGGACAAGGAGTTCGGAGCTGGGGAAGGACCAGCTTCCACCTGCTTCAGGTGAGGTGGGGCGGGACCAGGAGGAGGGGCGGACCGGGGCGGGCCACTGGGGGTGGCAAAAGCTTCGAGCGGTTTCTGTTGGCTGGATTGGGTCCTGCCCCATAGAGCGTTGCCCCTGTCGGTGGGGGCCTGGGTAGGGAGTGAGAGTAGAAGAGAGACTTCACGGGGTGAGGGGAGTCCCCGGGAAGCGACCTGGCCCGGGACACGCAGAGAGCCAGTGGCTGCACTGGTGGAAAAGCCCTTTGAGTCACGGCCCCCACCATCCCGTACTCCAGCCTCCACCAGCCCACGGCTAGAAGGGAGGGGGCGAGCCCGGCTAATTTTAAACCGCCGGCCTGCCCTAGTTTGCCTGCGTACCGGAGCCGACTAGCGCACAGTGCTGGGAGAGGCCCTTTTCCAGATGGTTGGCCCTACCTCCCCTCCGGCTCCCTGAGCTCAGCCCCCCGCAGGCAGCCCTTTCCGGCGCTCTGGGTTTCCGGGCCAGGACTCTGGGAGGTGCGCTACCACCCCCCAGGGTTCCCCGCGGCCAGTCCTCACCGAGTGGCGAGAAAAAGGAGAGGGAGGTGGTGGGGGTGCCCTCCCTTGCTCTCAGCCTTAGCTGGGGGGCGAATTGCGCAAACTTGCCCCCTGGGCCCGGGGTCTCCCCTGGAATGTGCCCCGGGCGCCGGGCCCCCAGCCTGCATTCCTTGCTCTGCAGGCCCGCCCCGCCTCTGAGCGCGGGCGGGAGAGTTGGTGAGATTATTGGCCCCGGGGAGCGGCCCGTGTCCGGGCAGAGCCCGAGCTTCAAGGCCACGGCTTGAAGGTTGCAGTACACTGCCCACTTTAGAATTTTGATGCAACCCTTTTTGTGCTGCCCTGTTCAAAGGGGGAAACTGAGGTGCGCCTGGAAGAAGCACATCCAGCCCGAGGCCACTTTCAATTCAGGATAGGCACTGGAGAGAGAGGGCTGCTAAACTGAGGCCAGATTCCTGCCTTCAGGCTCATGAAACTCTTGAAATAAGGTGCTGAAATAAGCCTGGAGCATTACAGAGAACATAGTATTCCTTCTACTGCTACTCTAGGGCAGGACTTAGCCCTAACACGCCTCTTCCCAATTAGGGGCAGATTTAGGAGGTCAGGGACAGGAAGAAACCACCCCTTGCTTCTTCCTCTCATTTAGGGACCCATCTCCCTACTGCACCAGGTGTTCTGCCCTCTGTTCTGTGCTCCCTAGCTAAGGACACCACTGAGCTCAGATTGAGAATGTGTTAAGTACCCCCCAGCGTAGACATTCCTGGGCTCCTCACTTTTAGGATATTCCACTTGGTGTACCTGAGGACACAGGCAGGATATGCTGGTGGACACACTGGGTTACTACTGTGCCTGTAGCCAGGACTTCCTGGGGCTGGCAGTTCTGCCAGGAGTGGTCAGATACACTGTGATGTGTTCATCCCAAATATAAACTGTGACCACAGCCCCAGAATAGAAGGCTGAAGGAAGAAGGGCTGAGAATAGGGTAGGGGGAGGAACATCAGAGAACTGAGAGAAGGGGAGCAGGGCTCCTCCTTGCAGGAAATGTCAACAGCTGGTTCCTCCCCGAGTCCTATAAGGGTGTGCCCCAGGGGCACAGACACGACTCAAACTTGCCTAGATAGCCCTATAGAGAGGAAAGGTGGCCCAGAAACCCAGGCATTCCCATTCTAGGCTGAGAGCAGAAATAAGAGGGAGGGGGTCTCTACTTACTCAATGCTTTATCCTCTGTACATTTGTCTAGTAGGGGAACAGGACACAGCCAAGTGGACATCTACCCTCCCATTCTGGGCACTGACTGTCATCCCTGCAGACCCTGGGAAAGCACAAAGGCCCAGCCCACTTTCTCTCTGGGGCTCCACCCCATGCACCCCATTGGGCTGGGCCCAGCCACTAGAGTTCCCCTGGGGGCTTCCTTTTTAAACTGTTTAGAGCTTTCAGATCTGAGAAGGCCTTGCTCATTTCCTCCTAGTCTAGGAGGAAGCTCCTAGCCACAGCCTCTGACTCATCTCCTGGCCTTGGGAAGGGGGCCGGTGGAAGGGGGTGGAGAGGGTCCTGGCAATGCCTTGGGCCATGCCTGGTGTCCCCAGGGGAATTTAGAAGTATCTGTCTTCCCTCTGTTGCAAGCCTCTCCCAGTCCAGGGACCTGCTTCTGCCCAGAGGAGACCTGGCCCTCTGGCCCTGCATTTTATCTCTTTACCCAGAGTTCTGCTACCTTTTGCTCTTCTGGGCAATGCCTCAGGAGCCCCTCTCGGACACCTATAAACCCTGCCACATCTGAGATAGCACTGACTTCTCCGTGGACTCTGGGCAGAGAGACCCAAATGCTGCTCGGTCCCTGATGCAAAGGCCAGAGGAGCCCCCTACTTCTAGCAGCAGGGATAACCCTAGAAAACTTTGTCACCAGTAACTCTGTTTCCCCAGCTGTGGCTAAACATTAGAGAAGGACAGGGGTGGCACTGTCCTGGAATATTTCCTGACCTTGCACCGTCCCTACTCCAGCCCCAGTTTACCCCTCAGGAGCAGTTGTTGCAAGGGGGCTAAAGTGTGAACCTGACCTGCTTGGACAGGGACCAACTGGAGGGGTCCCAGAGGATTCTTAAGGGTAAGATGAGGTGCTCTGGTGATGAATTGAGCCATTTATTCTCCTGATATGGAGGTCTTTGGGGGATACTAGAATATTGGGATGTGGGCATGGATCATGGCCTTCTTCCAGCTTTTCCTGGGACCACCATGTCCAATTTACTGGT